TTCAGGGATGAGGGCTGTTGCTTTGATTCTTCTGGAGAGGATGATTTGGCAGACCTTACCTACTGTTTTAGAACAGAAGAACAAGATGGTAATACTTCCAGATCAGAAAATCCATCTCCCCCAGTTCACGAAAAGATTCGCTAAACTGGTTGGGTTTCAACTTAATTCCATTCCAGGAGTCAAGAGGGATTCTCACTGATTGGTATCTACATCAAAAGCCCTCCTGCAATAGAGTTGCCATGCCCTTGCATCCTATCGTGGACAAGCTGGTAAAGAAAGTATGGCAGACACCCCACACCGTTCCTCCTGTGTCAAAGGAAATCGAGAGAAAATGCACCCTTCCTGAGGATGCGGTCAGTTACATCTCTCAGCCTGCACACGAGAGCGTGGCCATCGAGGCAGCGATGGCAATGGAGAAGGCGGGCTGGGAGCATGGTACTGCACCCCAAAACCCAGAACTGCAATGCCTGGATTCATTTGGCCAGAGGGTTTACTAGTCTGCAGCTGTAGCCCTTCGTGTTGTGGACTATCAAGTCTACATGGGCAGAGGGCAAATTGAGCTCTGGAAGAAAGTTTCTGTGCTAGCAAAATGTCTTCCTCAGGACCAGTGCCAGGCATTCCAGGCTGTTGTTCTCTAGGGCACAGACCTGGCCAGGCATCGGGTGCTAGCAGCCTTTGATGCAGGGGATATGGTGATGAGAGCTGCTGCCTCGGGGCTGGATCCATGGTGGTCTGCTTGGCTGCAAGCCTCCAGCTTCCACGAGGAGGTCCAAACAAAACTCGAGAACTTACCCTACGCAGGGGAGAATCTCTTTGGGGAACAGGTAGGAGCTACTTTACAAACAGCCAAAGAAAGGCGGGCCAAAATGTGCTTCCTCAGGTCGCTGAGCTGCCCCTCGGCCCCCTGCAGCAGGGCTGGAAGGGGAAAGCTTCTCTACATAAGCTGGCTTTCACACCCACTGTTTCAAGGGTGTGCAGTGCCTTTCTGGGAAGGGTGCCCCACCACAGTAGCAGAACAAGGTGCTCTTCATCCCCCCCTCTACAGACAGCAACAAGGAATTCAAAGAGCCCAAGGCATTTAGTTGGTAAATAATGTTTGGCAGACTAATACCCACCAGTGAGATGACTTGGTCTGCCTTTCATTTCCTCCTGCTTTTGCGTTTCAAGTCCTAAGCCTTATTATGTATGACTAGAAAACAAAAGTGTGTCCAAATCTCCATTCCTCAGTTCCTGAGAGTGCTCTAATAAACCATCTTACTATGGAGAACTGTGTACGGTCCGATTCCTCTTGGCAAAGACACTGGGCCGTGGGGAGGAAGAGTACATACTAACATGAAAGTTAAAGAACCAGAAGAGCTCGAGATACTTGTACAGGGATTCCTCCTGTCCCTTGCAGAACAAGGCAAGTGGCTGCCTCCTTCAGAAGCTGTGGCAGCATGCTTTCTCAGCAGCGGTGGGTGGTTTTTAAAGGCAATGTACAAACCTCCAGAGTTGGTTACCTGAGTGGTTTGAGGCTCATCATTGTCAGCACAGAGACAGTTTGGCTGGCTCTTGCGTTTTGTCAGTCCGATGTCAATCTGTTAGTTTTCTTTCAGTTGAAATGTTTCTCTCTCTTCTCAAGAAGGAAATCTCAGCAAGAATTTAAGTAATGTCTGCTACTGCTGTTTGTATTCTAAGTGGCTGAAAATATTCTTTTTCTCCCCAAGGACTTGTCTAGCTTGAAAACTGATTGACATCACTTTCCAGACTAACTGTTCTGCTGCAGTTAACCCATCCTCTCTGCTATGAAATGATTTTGTATTTATTCTTAAATAAAATCAATTTTATTTCAAACTAGAGAGTCTTGATGGGGGAAGTTACTCTTGAGTGGCTGTTGTGATTGATTTCTCCTTTGCAGGCAAGGCATGGTGTCGCTTAATTCTTGTTAAAATAGGTTGGCTAAACCATTGCACAGAAGTACAGCTCAGATCAGGACACAGCTCAGCGCTTTGCATCTGTTGGGCTTGTGTTTTGTAACGGGAAATTTTATAATACAAAGGTACAGCTCCAGATACTTGTTTACCCTAGGGCTCACATTATCACTGGAGGGGGAGAGTAAATCACTGAGAAGTCTAAAAATAACCCGAAACCTTCTGCAGACAAGAAGGTTCTGTTATTTGCAGAAGGGGAAGTAGCTGACACAACGATCCTGGCTCAAAGTAGCCGTAAGAGAGCGATACAAGCAGTGCCTTGTCTTGTCTTTTGGGTAGCTCTCAGTATTGCTTGTCCTGAAATGTGCCTTGGTACTCACAGTTCCGTGTCCCACGTGGCTTTTCCCAAGAGGGTGCCTGGCTGGATGTCCCTGCTGTGAGCAGGTAACAAATGAGCTGTCACCAGCATGGAGTGTCAGTAATTAAGCGAACCTTGGCACGCCCGCTTGGTACAAAGGGGCTTAATTGAAACCTGCTCCACTCTGATGGCGCAGCTGGGATCAGCAATGTGTGACAGCAGGTGGCCAACACGACATTAGCCTGGCCTGTGCAGCAATCCTTCATTCCTCAGCGGTTCGGGGTGCTGCAGCTCCCGCTGCCCGGAAGCTTAGCGAACCCCTGGAGAGGACAGACTGGAAGCAGCAGGCTCAGCCCAGCGTCGACAGAGCCCCCGGCTGCCCGTGAGCATGCTTCAGGTCCTGACTGCAGACCCTCCTCCAGGAGCCGGCGGATGGCTGCCTGCTGCTGGGCTGCTGCCACAGGGACCCGCTTGCTGTTATCTGGCCTTGAGGTGAACCTCTCTTTCCCCAGGGTCAGTAATACTTCTGAAGGAGCCACATCTTGTGTTTCTGGGCCACTTTGTGGCAAATCACACATCTGGAGGCGGTGCAGTGCTTGATTGCAACCCTGTCTGAGGATCTCCTGACAGCTCTCCCGATGAGGCATAAAGCTGCCACAGTGAAGCTGTGCACAGAACTGGGGCTCCTCTCACCTGGCAATGGTGGGAAAAAACTGATGCTTAATTGGCTTTATCTGGAACAGGTATTTTTTCTGAATGAGCCTCTTCCCTGGAGATGAAACGGAAGGTTGGCAGGACAGAGGCAAAGCCAGAGAGTGGGAGTGAGATCAAAGAGATACCCACAGCGAGGGAGGTGTGGCAGAGGTGAGACATTGCAAGAAGTGTCGCACATCCGCAGGAGAAGCAGCAGGGAGACAGGGGCTCTGGCTGCATGGCTTGTAACTTTTGCTCCCAAGGCTTTCATAGCATCCTTGAAACCCCCCAGGTAGCCCAAAACTCAGAAGGAGCCTAGCAAGGACACGGAAGCTTGCAGGCTTGTGTGGGGCCGGTAGCCAAGGTGTCCGAGATGTTATCCACGCACCTACAAAGTGATGCCTCCTCCAGAAACCAAAGCAAGAGCACAAAAGACATGTCAAGCCACATGCAGCCTCCCCTGCACGCGCCATCTAGGGTTAATCACCACATGCAGCTCTAACGAGACTGGGGCAGGGGTGCTGGGGGAGAGCAGCAGCAGCCTGGAGGAAACTCACTTCACAGCAGGGTAGAAAAGCAGCTCTGGGGGAGAAACTGGATCCGGAGGGTTGTGGTGGGAAGGGGGAGCATCTTGGTGCGATGCTGCCCTGCCATGTCATCCCAGATGTCTGCACCTTAGGTCTGGGGCATGTTTTGATTGCAGGCATCGTTGCACTGCCATCTCCCGCTGTTCCCGTGTCCACCGGTGCAATGAATATGCCAGTTATTTACCTCTGTCTGCTGCAGCAGCCTCCACTTCATCCCCGCACCCCATGTTAGAAACCAGTCCCTTGGAGCTGTTCCAGCATTCACGGGCTGCTCTCAGTGGTGCCAAAAGGTTTCTCTGCTGAAAAGCCAAGCTGTAAATATCACTCGATCAGCCTCACAGGACCTGGGCCTTGGTGGAGGCCCCAGGGATAATAGTCATACCTGTGGGTCTGCCTTCCCAAAGGGTCCTGAACAGCGAGGGACCCGTGCCTGCATCTCGGGGGCAAGCAGACCGCAGCCTCAACCTGTGTCTCTGCCAGAGGTACCACCACTGCTCCTGCCTCAAGACAGACATTTGGGTGCTCGTGGGTTTAACGCCCAAAGTGGCTGCATGAGGTGCCCAAGAGACTGAAGCACCCTGGCTCGGGAGAAGCAGAAAAGTCCCAATGGTGGGTAAATCGCTCGAAGTACCAGCACAGATCACTGCTCTGGTCTGCTGCTGGGAGTTGTGCCTGGCCGACAGTGACGTGCTAAGCGGGTGTATCCCAATGCCTGTAGCATCAGGGCTGAGCCATGCCTGGCAGCCACATGCATGGCACCTCTGGGAAACTTTTAAGTGGCCCAAAGCATTAACACAGGGAGAGTGTAGCACTGCCACCAGCTTCGGCAGTGCCACCACCGCCTGCACTGCTGCAGTGAGCCAAGTCCTCACGCTGACTCTCAGTAATGCAAAGGGATTTGCCGTTACCTGGAAATCCAAGATGGGGCTCCAAAAGCATCTCCCAAAGGCAAGGCTATGTTGGAGTATGCTGGCACTGTGGGTCCTGTGCCTGCCTCCATCACACCATCACAGATGTATTTCCACCTCGTGCAGGCATGCTGTCCCTCATCACATGCAGCTGGTGGCTTCTGGAAAGGGCCTAGGTCTGCAAGACACTCGCGCTCCAGCTTCCATCCGAGAAGCCCAAAGAGCTCAGATGTTTTTATGAGCCAGGAGCTCCCTGGACAACCTGATGGCTGGTTCCTTCCCTCTCCAGCCCCAACCCAGGGCTGCTCTCGGCTCCTCCTGCCCCAGCCTCTGCCACCGCTTTCTGCATGCTGCCTGTCACACGTGGTGCACAGCGCACAACCCACAAAGGAAAAACCCTGAGCGACAAACCCCAGCGCTGGCTGGGGGAGCGGGGGTGAAGCGGGAGAGCGGAACTGAAAGCCGATGTAGCTCAGCCTGCCAGCTCACCGCCCCACAGGCGCAGCCCTGGCCTCCGGCCGCCAGGACCCCATGCCGAGGCAGGATGGAGGATTTAGGTAAGCCGGGCCCCTCCGGAGCCAGTCCCACACCCAGGCTTGATGCAGGGTTGCGCCTTCGGCGACTCAGGGGAGCCTTGTCTGTCCTCTCCCTCAGGGTTAGGTGGGGATGCTGCAGCGGGGGCAGCGATGGGGCCACAGTCTCTACACGGCCCCCCCATCGCAGT